AGTAAGATTTTACTCAGACTTTTCTTTATTCAAATAAAATGAGACTAAATTTATGACTATAACTAATTAATATGCAGAAACCTCGTGTGTCTTTCACATGTAGACTAAAAGTGTCTGCTTAGAAAGATGAAAGCAATCTCGAAGTACTACCAGTGTCCGGACCCATGCTTTTACTTGAATTGAATCTTGCGATGCGTCTTTGCCGTGGTTCTTTTGACAGTTCATTATGACGTCAAAGGAGTGACGAGTTACGAGCCAGACGTTTTAATTAATGAATCTTTTAAAACGTGCACTATTCCGTAACTCGGAATATAAAAGCTCACAAATAAAGGATGATACTTTTTAATCTCTTGTAAAGAAATGTGAGCTTCTTGCATCTGGTATTACTTGGGCATACTTGTGACGTAATCAAAATAAAAAAAATCATAGGTCATCATTTTAGTCAATACTTTTGTTTGCTACTAAGTACGGAGAGGATTGACAAACCTCTCTGTAAATTCTGAAAAAAAAAACAATTCAATTTTAGTGTTGCTGGCATGGAGAAATTCTAAACTCTCGTTTTATATTAACAAGTATATATTATAAATTTTTAAACGGAATGTAAAAATAAAAGCAATTCTTCTCATCAAAATGTAAATAAGCAATTTGCTTGGTACTGTTGTAATCTACGAGAAGTGGAAATGAATGTATAAGTCTTTGATGAAAGGGAGAATTATAAATAATAAACTCTCGCACCGACTTAGTGAAAAACACCTTTAAAACACGTGTTTAAAAAAGGAAGTCTATTTTTTTGAGACAAGAGAATCTATATTTAGGTTCTCAAGTCCGTCAAATTTTTAATAAATTCACATTCAAAGTTTCCAATTTTCGTTTCATTTGATGTAAAAATACTTCAATTTTGCTACAGACTTGTCAAATAAATTTCAACATTGAAAATTACAAAAAACACTCAGAGTAATTAGTATATTTTACATCCAAAGTTTTAGTATTATCATTTGTAAGAAAAGTTTAAACATAAGGCATGGAGTGAGAGCGACTATTAATTAGCGACGAAGTTTCCAGTTCGCGGACGATCGGGTAATGAACGTCGCGCCGTTATTAATTAAAAATAAAAAACAATTTCTATTTTCTGCCCCGATGAAAGTTTTCTAGGATGTCTACAGCTATCGAAGTTCAAATCTTATTGAAATGTTAGAAGTTACTTTCTTTCAAACTTCGTTCGTTAATTTTTTTGCTGTTCAAAAGTTAATAGAAATTGCGTTGAGTAAATCGTTATTTTACTGAAGCGCAATGTTAAAAAGGATCAAACTTTTTACTCGTTTGATCATTTATATAAAAGTTCCTTTAATTAAATGTCTTACTAATTAGAGCAACACTTCTTACAATTGAGAATAACGTTACTGTCTAACTAAACGGCGATGGACTTGTCTCATTAACTTTGGCAATCTTTCTTACATTATGCCTATTATCAAAATTATTTACATTAGGTATATTTAATGTATATCCTCTATGATGTAAAAGGTAGATTTCATCGAATTAACCTCGGCAAATATTAATATTCAACACGTTATATCGTATGCTAAATATTGCGTAGTTGTAATATATTTTTTTAACAATTCAAGTAATTTCAAAAGATGAAATTAAATAGACATTCTCACATTCAAGACTCGTCATATTATTAAAATATATCTTTCTATTTGGTATATAATAAATTTATTAATTTACGTTTATTTCTTAAATTAAACACATCTTATTGATATTTTTCTTTAGTAAATCGTAGCAAAAAGGTTTTACTAATCCTGCAAATAACGGCCAGTATTCCCGCCGCTGTTATCTGCGTCATGAGGATTAAATCCTTGTGATTAATTGTACTCCGCTTAGATTAATTGGATAGAAATAAAATAACGAGATATCTCGCAGACAAACTGCTATTAATTATAACTTGAGTACAATTTTGTAACGTTGCTATTTTCTCTATTTATTGCCCTATAGATCTATGTTATATTTATAACTAGAAGGTACGTTTATATTTAGTGTTCTATTATTTTAGTCGTAAAAATAAAGACTGAGACATGATTTCCTCGGGGAATTCTTCGCTGTAATTTTTACCTTGCAATCTTTGTAACAAAAACCATTTTTGTAAGCCGCCTTGATTAAGATACCAAGAAAAATACGTCTTCATATAAATTTCAATTAAGCTAAATGTTGGAAAAAATTAAGAGTTCGTTTTTATGTTCGCGAATCACCTTTAAATTCCTTTGTCGAATACGTTCAAATCATTCATTCGGTAGCAAATGGCCGTCCCCGAGTGCCGCGTCGCCTTTGGAACAGAAATTCCATTACGCAACCGAACAGTTACGGAAAAAATCCAACGGTCTTTACCTCGCTATTGTGTGAACATTCAATATTTAATTTCAACCCTTCCGTCATATATTGACAGGAGAAAGATAAAAATCAAAAACAGTATTCGTAAATCGATTATCGATTGTTGTTAGACTTTAAAGGTCAGGACACGCATGTTGGCATTATCTTTTCATTTACGAATCCTGATCGTCCAAAACAGTTGTAGTTTCAGCAGACGTTTCCTACTAATTTTACAGAAATGTTCAATAGTACTCCAATTTGTAGTGTCATCGCGCTACGAGCTCTCGACGAATGCATTAACATTGAATAACGATCGTTATACGTAATCCGATTTGCATACAAGCGTTTGGAAATTCCAATATACTCGGGTTCTCTCCATTAGTTTAACGGAATTTCTATTGGAACTCGAAGTACTGCTATTATTTCTGCTATTTGTCACCGCAAAAGTCGTAACACTGGCATTAAATCACATAATTGCCTGAAACGGAATATATTTCTGTTCAAATTTGTTGGACAGTGGAAACTCACTTTAGGAAAATCTTTTCACTAAACAAGAAAATAGACAGTGAGTCAGAATGTGGTATTAATGTAATTTGTATTTAGTATAAATAAAATGCTGTATTTACCACTGCTTAGATATTTGTTTCATTGCTTCAGGTTTTGAGCAATTAAACATTAAACAAATCTTTTTGTTATACGAAATGTTGTTTACATAGGAATTATAAAATTGCCGATAAAGCGCTTTATGCGTCTCTGATACGTTATACAGATTCATAATAAAATTATCTTTATATTTCAGCATACATTACAGCGTTGGAAATCACGTTTTAAAACATTGCATTTGTAAAATAATACGTATCCTTTCCAGTATTTCTAAAATACCAGTCGCCGTATTTTCTCTATGAAAGTATAGGGATGGAAAAAGTGGAAATTAAAATGTTCCATTAGAATCCTCGCGAATGTAAAGTAATAAAATGCTGCAGCGTATTTGCAAAGTAGTTTTAAAACAGTATTACATATTCATTCCCAGTGGTCGTGAATGGGCGCATTCAAATTTTTTACATTCATACTCGGACCGATAAAGGTCCTTCGGATGAAAACAATGGACTTTTTGATAGTAATGCTTTTGATGAATGCAAAACGCGCTTTTAGCTGAATAAAACAATGGAAGTGAGGCTTGCAAGTGCGGTATTTCATGCGCAACGAAAAAAAAATGGCCAGACATCTTTCGAATGTAACTTTTTTATTCTTTTCTCTATAGTCCGATTTTAACACAAGAACAAATCGATACCAAATAGAATTAATTTTTACCCAATTATTAATGGGAAGCTAAATGGAAATTCCAGCTTTGTCAGCAATGAAAATAGCAGCAGAAAAGAGCATCTAATCAGTAGAATCAAATCTATGAGTACCGAGATAACGTATACTATAACGAGATTAATGGACAGTTCAGTCGGTTTCTCATATTATAAGATCTACTTTTAAATTTAGTCTCGGACGGCAGCACCCGGTATTCATTATCGTTATGATAGACTGGGCAAAATAAACCACAAGTCTTTTTTATAAAGTAAGAGAGTACCTTATCTCTTTTCAAGATTATGTCGTTTAAGGTTCACCATCATGAGCAGGGTCGTAATTTGTAAGTTATTAACGAATGCAACGTCTACATTATTGAATTTTCTGAATACACAAACCTGAACAGCGACATCTGTTGAGATACAAATACGATGACCTCGTCTCTTGTGGCGCTGGTACAGATGGGAGTGTGTTTCCATAAAGTTGCCACTATAAAAATTATAGAAACTATGAACGTCTGTAACGAATCCTTATCGCTTTTTTTTAAATAGTCCTTATTTCATTACATTTACTACAATGAAGTGTACCTGTTGCGCTTAAAAAGATATTGTAGTAAAAAATCCTTCTACTCTGTCATTTCCTGAATACTCCTTAATTATAGTTGTTCCTCGTACAGTATTTACGAAATATACGGTTGCACTTCAACTAAGAGCTCGCTAGTGCCTCGCCTCGCTAAACCTAAGTTCTGCGCAGCGACTCGTACGATGTTCTGAGCTACCAAGTTATTTGAACACGTAATGTATTTGTGTTTCTCATTTCTATAAATATATGACTCGTTTTTTTTTTATATCTCTTTCATACTTCTAAGGAAGTAAGGCTGTAAAATAAACCAGATTAAACAAATATAGGATTATATTCAGTGAAACATTCAAATCCAACATAGCGGACGTCCGGAACACGTTCCGTGCGCCCGCGCAAGCTGTGTACTCGCCCTGGGGCCGCTACACCATTCAGAAGGTAAATCAACATCGTACAATAATCCCATATGTATATAGTTATTATTTTCAGCAATTATTCTAAATCTAATTGTCTAAATCCGTCTCGGAATACCTCAAACCATGTTAATGAAAACTGCTTAACTGACACACAATGTTAAATTAAAAGCCAAAAATTATTTTGATCAACTGAAAATAACTTCATCCATAGTACATACAGAGGCGTTACCTCACATTTCGCAAATTATTGTTTACTCTGCGAGAAAAAAAAGTTTTAAATCTTTTTAATTAAAATAACACTATCTTAAAACGTTTAGTCTAGGGCATCTTTACGAAAACTTAGTGTAGTTTTTTTTTCTTAATTTATTACATCATATATATACATAATTTCGACATAATTATTTTTTAAACGTAACATCTGGCAGGTCAAAAACATAAGTGATTCACAAACTCGTTTACAGGATATGGAGGTGGAGGCTAAGGATGGATATGGCTTACCAGTAAAATAGTCAAAGTGCAAATTGTTACACGTGCTAAGTGCTAAAGCGTATACAATAGAGTTTAAAACAATTTGTTGTCCTCTTATTTACATCGAAAGTTTGGCAATTCGACAAAAATAAAACATTTACTATACAATGGTCAATAATATAACGCAATACTTCGATAACATGAAATGGTGTAAAGCATTCGTTATAATAACAATTAGAATTGTTGCCTTAAGCATTTAAATATAGTAATATTACAAAAATAATAATTGTCCAATGATAACAGGAAAAAGATTATATTTTCTTAATTTGTTTAAAAAATAAAGAATAGTAGATACACCATAATTACTATAAATTGGAGGGGAATTGTTTAGAAATGTAATCTAAATTATCTAGATTATAATAATTATAATTTAAATCCAGACTAATTGATTCAGAATACGCCGATACTACTGTTTAAAAATTCACTGGTTTTGATAAGATAACACTAAATTAACAAATAGCAGTATTGAGTTTGCTCAATATTAGTCAAAATGAAAGCATTCGGCAAATAAGTTTCACACATAAATTGACGCGCTTGATGCGTGTACGTTCGGCCAATGACAGCGCTCGGTGCGGTGAGTTCTCTGACGTCATCAACACACACACATCGCCACTACTACTAATATAATTTGCAAGTCTTCAAGTGAAAAGAATTATTTATGTATAACTCGTGTACTTAGCTGCGAGCTTTGCCGATGGCGTCGTGACGTCACGAGTGACGGTACTGAGCGAGACTCAAGGTCAGTGCTAGAGTCATCGGCAAACATTTGCGTACGAATATTTTATTTGCTATCATTTACCACTGGCCGTTAAATGAAGATGAAATTAGCAAGTTTGTACTCAAAAAACACGCGGAATTTTCTATACACTAACTTTTCTAGACTAAATTCAAATCAGCTAGCTAAAGGAAGGAACCAAATCAGGAACTACATGCAATGCATCGTTTCCATGCAAAAGAAATATACAAATCGTGTTATTAATCAAATTAAACCAAAAATACACATACTTGTTTTATTTAATAAGACAGGAAAACATTTAAATCTTAGCAACTGCTGTATAAGTGACCGAAACAAACATTAATGTGGTTAAAAAACCTCTCTAGATTAAATTAACAATATTTCAACATTAATAGAAATTTATATAAGGCATATGCCCGATTATCTTACAAATTGTAGACGCCAAAATAAACTATCCTGACATACTTGCAGATTTCAATCGAATTTTTATCACATATAAAATAAAATATTTCTATTTAAGTGAATAAAATGCAATTGATTACCGAAGTTACTTCGGCGCTTATTTGACACGTTTTTACTTTTAAAATGAAAAAAAAATGTTGTTTTAAATATACCAATTAATGTTTAATTTTGCCGAATCACCAAAAGAAAGATATCATCAACAATTGGCACAGCATGACGTCATCTTCACGCCTTACTAACCAATTGAGACTAACTAAATCACTTCAATTATTTCCAAATTATATTACAATCATCGCTTTTAGTTTCATTTATTTAAATCGGTAGGCACTTTAAGTACCTTACTGTTTAATTATATTAAAACGTTAAACGAAAAAAATTCTCCGGTAAACACAAGCCTTGTAAAATATCGAAAACCTTGAGTATTCACATAATTGAAACTAAACGCGAAAAACTTCAAATGTATAATTGCGTCAATAAAGTATACATTATTTTTAAGCTAAAAACGGGATTTAAATACTCAAGTCGAAAAAAAAAGAACAAAATTTACAGAAATAGATTATTGCAACGCAAACACAAAGCGACTGTCCAGACTGTGAAATAAATAATAAAAACTAGACAAAATGAACGTTGACTGCTGCATTAGGTCGATAAACTATTGCGTATGCGTTGTGACGCTATGAACATTCTATGAGGGCAATAGCGAAGGGAGTCGACTCGGCGTTGTACATTACGTGTTAATAAGGCTATCATAATGCTACGTCACGCGACTGTGGACTATCGCCGGTCGCTGGGTGCCCCGCGCGTGTCTCTAGTGTCTCGTCGCGTGTTGCTAGTGTCGCGTCGCGCGTCGCTAGTGTCGCGGTGCGCGTCGCTAATGTCGCGGCGCGCTGCCGACGAGCGAGGCGGGGCGCGGCTCACCACTCAGTTGTATATCTTGATCGCCTTCTCCAGGTAGTTGGCGCGGGAGCGTTTGGGCGTCTTGTTGATGTGCTCGAGCCCCAGCCACGGCCGCCCCGTCGCGTCTGGAAGCGACATATCTTCAATTAATATTAGCACGCAGTCCGGGGAGGGTTGGACGCGATACAAACAACTTAGATACGCCTCTATTGCTTGGTATTGATACTTACTTGCATTACTGCTCGGCCTGAAGTCGAATACGTTAACTGTCACTCCATCGTTTATGTAAACAGGTCTACCATTTGTCACTATAGCAAAATTGTACTGTAAAGAAAAAAAAATGATTAAAGCATTTTAACTTGACATTCACTACTAATATCAGATAAAAACAATATTTTCACAAAAACATTTAATATGACTATCCAAGGACTCGCCTGAAGCGCATAAACAAATACATGATTTCATATAATATCGATTAGTTGAGTGTACCTTTTCCCACTCCTTGTCAGGTATGTCTAGTTTCTTCTGCAGGCGGTCCTTGACGGCCTGGAAGGGCTCGAGGTGCTTGACGCGCGTGTAGAAGGGCACGCCGAACGTCGCGTACACCTGCTTGAAGAAGTGCGCGCACGGCACCAGCACCTCGTCCTCCTGCACACGCGACACACATTACATTCATGACAAAAATTAATATCAATTCTGTAATATTGCACAAATCAGCCACCGATCTCTACAAATGGATAGGCTATAAGACGTAGTATTGCATTAGAACTAGATACCCAAGAACCAATAAATATGGAATTAACTGTCGCTAACATCAATAGTCGTGTTTATGTTCAAACGAACCAAAAACTGTCATTTCCATGTAATGACCAATCCATTTATACAGATCAGTGATATCAGCACAGATGGAAACCTATAATCGGTTTAGTATGAGAAAGGCCATCTAAAACCGACAGGTTACCTGTAGATGTAACTCATCCTTGGGTATCTCCTCTATTCTGTATAGTCTGGGCGGCGAGATGGTGACCTGATCTAGCGTCAACTCGGGGTCGGGGCCCGGCAGCACCTTGTGACAGGACACCTCCACGATACGCAATCTGAAACCGTCAATATAAAATACTTCAGATTAAACCTTATTTAATACAGAAATTCACAAATAAAACAACTTTTTTTTGCGTTAATCTTTACCAGCGTTACTATGTACATCTAATTTATCATAGAAAATATTATTATGCATGCACAAATCATTTGAAATCTTACAATAAATGTGAAAGTTTAGATGGATGGATGTTTGTTTGTTAAAGTTTGTAGCGGAAATGGCTAACGGATCTTGATGAAGTTTAGCATAGACCTAGAAGATAATCTCGTTAAACACAGGCTACACTTTTATTTTTTAAATCCACACAGTCACGGGTGAAAGCTAGTATTCTAAATGTACTTTGTAAGTTACACACCTGCCAGAGCCATCTGGTGACATTTCAACCACCTTAGCAGCCTCCTCTAAAATGTCCGCCACCTTTCCACCCTTGTTGGGATATAAAATTAACTCTTTATCTTCTTTGTAATTTGGCCCAACCTGTAAAACAAAGAAGTAAAATAAACAATAAGCAAAATTTTCGGACAAAGTTTTCGAACAATTTTTACAATTCCAGTAAATTCAATTCTATTATAAGATCTCCTCTATTGGTCTGTTCAAGATATTTTTTCTAAAATAAAGTATTACAACTTACCCATAAACATTTAAACTGCTTCTTATTATCCAATTCATTAACTTTGATAGATAAAATCTGATAGAACAATTTCTTAGGGCACTTTGGTT